GAGAATAGAAGTCCCATTCGGTTATTATACAATCTAAGAATGGACTCGGTTCGGAATCAAACGGATTCGGGTCGGATCGGTCACAAAACATAACACCCATTAAGTTCCGAAATTTTAATGGGCTCGGTTCGGTTTCGGATTTTAAAACCGAAAAGAATGCAAACAAGTATAATTAAACCGAAAATAACCGAAAATAACCGAAAATAACTGAAATAACCGAAATTAAACCGAGAGTAACTGATAATAAACCGAAAGATTCATAGATTTGTGGTCAAACACACCAAGACCACAAATCTTAAACAAACATGGGTTCAAACGAACCAAAAACACACAACAAACGTTCAATGTAGCATACTCCAAAAGATAAAAGCCGATAACATAAAGATCAAAGCCGAAAACAGAAAGAAAAATTGAAATGAGTTCAATGTAGCAAGTTGAAATTGCTAAGTCTTCTACTCTTCATGTGGGATTATTGTGTTTCCATTCTCTGCAGAAAAGAAGATAAGAAACTTGCATTACAATCATGTTATGAGATTGTAAATAAAGAAAAACTAGATTGACAATGTTGTTACCTCTTTCCAGGCGGTCCACCTCTTCAAGATCAGCTAGAACTTGTTCATTTGTAAGCTCCCTTGTCACCATCCTCAAGTCTTCTTTGAGCCACTGCTCTGTACACATAAGAACCTCAACCATGTAATGGGTTAGAGAGCTCCTATGTGGATCAATAATCCTACCACAAGTACTGAACGCACTCTCGGAAGCTATAGAAGATACTTGCATGGCAAGAACATCTCGTGCAATCTCAGACAAAACAGGGAACTTGCCTTTGTTTTTTCTCGACCATGAAAGCACATCAAACTCCATTCTTGTCATCAGATTCTGAGATTCCACACTTTCTTTGAGATATGTCTCCAGCTCATCCCTTTTCTCTCTAACACCCATCTCATTAAGCTTCTGCTTGTACCTCAAATCAATCCTCTTGTACCCTGGTGTATCGTCCACTATCTCCATTCTTTCAATGCATTGCTCCTTACACTGAGATCTCACCGTAGACTGAGAGGACTGGTCACCTGGATCATCATCATTTCCATGCCTTGCTTTGTATTCTTTGAACAAACACCTCAGAAGACTGAGTAACGAATCGTACATGTCATTGTACTCGACAGTGTCTTTGCCATACAATTCTTCAAAGCACATCTTGGCAAGCTCCAGCTTATTACTAGGGTCGAAGACAGTCGCAAGAACAAGCATCATGTTCATATTCTTCATGCCATCCCAGTATTTGTCGAACTTTTTGAACATCTGTGCTGCCTTAGTCTGCAAATCAGGGTCAGGGCTGTTGGAGAGATCCATCAGATTGGTTGCTATAGTTACAATCTCACTGTAACACCTATGGGCATTGACAGAACTTGAAGCAGACACCACCAAGGTCGAGTTGTAGAAGATAATGAGAAACCTGCAAAGCTTATCAATGTCATTCCAATCCTTTAGTTGTGGAGGACCAATCCTCTTTGCACCGTTCTCAAACTCAAAGAAGAAGTCATTGTAGAGCTTGTCTTCAATCTCCATCTTGTCGAAGGCAATTTTGAACTTCTGAGCTGTTGACAACATCAAATAGGTGGAGTTCCATCTTGTCTTGACATCCAAAGGTAAGCTACCTCTTGTAATCTTCCCTGAATCAACCTTACACTCAAAAGACCTCAATCTATTTGTATGTGATCTGACATACGAGATTGCATTACGCACAGCAACCACTGAATGATCAATCTCAGCCATACCATCTTTCACAATCAGATTAATAATGTGAGCGCTACATCTCATGTGCAAATACGAGCCATCTAAGACCAGGGAATCATCAGAAACTAAGGCAAATGCACTATGAAACTTTCTCAAAGCAGAACTATTGGCTGTCGCATTGTCTACGGTTACACAGAATACCCTCTCAATTCCCCACTCAGCCAAGCATTCTAGTAAGACAGAAGCAATTGTCTGACCTTTGTGATCTGTGATGTGCTTGAATCCAATGATCAGCTTCCTTAACCTCCAGAAAGTGTCAATGAAATGCACTGTGACCACCATGTAACTAGCACCTGCAAAGATCAGAAAAGACAATGCAAATTAATATCATAAAATTGTAAACTATAATATTGACTTATGTAATTGCGATCACATGTGACTTGGGAAACTCAACTGTCTGTTGTAAGAGAGACACATTGTTTGTTACACACAAACCATTTCTTAAGTGCCTCCTTCTTTTCCATGTACATCTTCACAATATCTTTAGTTGCAGTTCTTCTTGAATGACGAGCATGCAGCTTTGCCTACAAACATATGCAATACCATTAGATATAGCTATTGTATGTCTAAAACAACCATAAGAACAAACATTAAGTCTATACCTTGTCACAAAAATGCTTCCATGCCGCGCTTTCAACAAATGATAACGGCATTTGTCCCAAAACCAACATCTCATTTGTAGCTTCTCTGAACACATCATCAGTTAGCTTAGCCGGCTTCAGCTTCCCTTCTTTGTCAATGCCTTCTTGTCGTTCAGACTGGCCAGCTAACCACGCTTGATGGTTTTTGCAGATTTCCAAATGCTTCTTGAGGTTGGATGTCCCTGATGTGGTGAGACACGAGAAACTGTTCTGGCAGTAGTTGCACAAACACATGTCTCTGTCCTCCTTAGTCCTTGTGAAATGATCCACATACTTCTGATCTTGTTGGGAGAAGCCTCTTCACTTTACTTGGTTGAGAACTTGCAGCAGTAGATTGTGGAGTCTCTTTCCTCTTCCCTGAAGTCGCACCAGGCTCTGTAATGTTAGTGCTGTCTGGATTTTCGAACTCCCTCTCATTTTCTTTAGAACTTGTATCATGATCAACAGAAAAATTTGAATCCATCTGCGACAATAAAGAATCATATCTGACAGTATTATATATAACAAAGCGATCAACAAAGACTTTGACAATCAGATTGTACTACTACTAACGAACGTATACTTTGACAATTAGAAAATATTATCACCACAAAGACTTTGATAATGTGAAAGTGATTTTCAAAACAATCAAACAATGCGATAAAAACAAATATACAGAAACCAATCGATGTATACACCAAACATCAAAATCTAATTTGTCAAAAAAAAGAAGCTTTCGATTTGAAAGGCTAACCTCTGAATAAGTTGTAGAAAAGACAGAAGGCTCGGATGGATTGAAAGGATGAGAGGTAAGGTTATATATAGTGGCCATCTTCATCAATTACGCAGAAGCTTCAGATTGAATCGAGGAGGTTCGGTATTGGAACTAGGGTTCGCCACCACGGGTTCGGAGAAGACGAAGAATCCCCACTAAATGAAACCTCTTTTATGCCAGCTTAATAAGTGGTCTCGGTTAACTACGGTTTAATAATCGGATTGCGGTTCAATCCCGAACCGACCCGATAACCGTAACATTAGAAAATCAAAACCCATTCGGGTATTTTCTCACAACCGTACTCAATCCAGAACCGAGATTCGGGTCGGTATAATGTTCGGTTTTCGGTTACGGGTATTTACGCCCAGGCCTAAGACCAAGATAAATATTTTGTTGATTTTGTTTATTAGTTTCGAGCGAAATTAATGATCTTGTGGATAATCTTGTTTCCATCCTTTTGATTAGTCATTTACTAACCATAAATCTAGCTAAGACAACACTACAAGAATTTGATAAGAACAAAGAAAAACTATGAAAACGCCTAATTTCGTATCAACTTCTGTGTCATTGTGAATGTTTCTTCTCTTTGCGAGTTTCTTTCTATTTATAGTCAACTTCTTTTTTCTTCTTTTTAAGCCGACTTAGTTTTCCTCAACCACTTATTTTTTTTTAACTCAGACGACTTTAATTACATTATTTGGTTTTGTCCAGGAACACATTCCATCTCTAACAGCGTGGTAAACTCTTGGTAGACGCAAGGATACGACTTAATCACGTGCGACTGACCTCGAGGCACGTTCTGACTGGTTCTTACCAAGCATCGTATTAACTCTCGTTTCCTCACAAAGTACCGATTAACACATGTTATTATGATCCCCTTTTGGTGTGCGATTCTAGATATTTTACTGTGAATTTAGTCCATGGATTTTCAACTTCTTATATTTGTGGCCAGACATTTCCCAGTAATCGTTTGCCTTCTTATGCATGAAAATGGAATCGCTCTTCACACTTCTTCATCCACCCCTTTAGTTCCTTTAGCGAGCCTAATCCCTATCTATCGGGCTTCAATTTCATAATCCATCTCATCTCCCCATGTCTTCTTCCGAGGACACACCATATCTAGTTGGGGGCCACTTCCTCAGTCACCTCCATTTCCGTGGCTGTGAGAAACAAGTCTTATCCTCTAGCGTGGAAACATGGCCTTGATTTTGGTCCTTGATTGCTTCATACAAGACGAGGTCATCAAACTCGTTCCAGGGCCGACTCTAAAAATTATGCGCGCTCAGGCGATTTCTTAACGATTTCACCTAAAACAAAATTTTAACGGATTTGGGGGATTAAAAATTTTTCTTTTGGAGGCCTATCTACAAATAATTTTTTCAAAAAATATTGGAAGCCAAGGCCAATGTTTCATCCGACTTTGCCCAACGCCGGCCCTGACTGTTCAGTGGCATGTTTACTGTCGCTCTGATGTCCTCCCCAGCAGTGGATGACCAATCGAATCCTATTAAATTCCATGTGTTGAGTGCCATAATAAGACTTCTGATCGGGAGACATACGAAAGAAATGAAAAACAATCGAGATATATAGAATCATGATCATGCAAAAGCATATCAAGTGAGACATTACAATAACAAATCCTACCAAGAAATAAATTATTGTATGCCGCTTTATGTTATAACTTACTCAAATTGTAACAATTCAATAGAACAAAACCGCCACAAACCCCAAAACTATAAATTATAACCAAAGAAAAAGAAAAAACAGAGTATTAAATCATTCGTCACCATCCTCCTCATGTCCCCCAATTAGCAGCCCAAGTCATCCAAGTAGCTCTGCAAATCTTTTAAACCCTCCGCTGAGAAGCTCCTTTGAACCCTCAACCTCGGTGCAACCAAGTTCGGTGGCGGCTGTGGCTGAAGGCATACAACCACCGCCGTCACATTATCCCCACTCTTCCTCTTCAAAGCTTCTTCAACCAACTCTTTGCTACACATAACCGGGTCATTGTGCTCTTGCAATCTCCTTCTAGCGAAATCAACAGCGTTCTGGCTCATGAACACATCCCATACCCCATCGCAACCCATTATGAGGAACTCGTCTTCTTCTGTCAGTTTAGTTGTCATAAGCTCAGGATCTGCAATGAGAGGTCCACCGTTAGTACCGTCTTTCTTTTTCTTCATGCCTTCCATATGAAAATCCCCTAGGGCACGAGCCACATTAAGTTGCCCGTTCAGATAGCCATCGTATATGTATCCACCCGATGCTTCAATGCGTCTTCTCTCTTTACAGCTCATGGGTTTGTGGTCCTTTGACATTTCAATGGCTTTGCCCTGACGAGACAAGACTGCTCTACAGTCTCCAGCGTTTGCCACAACCAACGACCTGTAACACCAAGGAGAACAAATATAGTATGAAAATGACAAAATTAACTTGTATTCGAGCATTGATTTACATACTTAAACCAAAGGAAGAAAAATCAGGCTGAGACGATAACAACTACGGTAATCAAAGGCTAGAGTGTAACTTCTATAAGCGAATTATTGCTGCGGAATTGTTTTCACAGTTGAGATTAAGCACACTATACATATGCTGCTGATATGCAGGTCTTAGCTAGTATTCATTTAAAGTTTTATAGATTTAAGTACAAAAGATAATGAGAGTTAAAATGAACAAACCTCCCAAAAAGAATAGCAGCCAAAGCAGTAGTTCCTGATGAAAGGGTCCCATCCAATGCACAAGCCTCGGAGAAGGCAGAGTCTGTTTGAAGAAACGCTGAAGAAATCACCTTATTGATCTCACTAGAGAACTCTTGATCCTCAACGATGTACCTTGGTATGTGGTGACACGCAAATTCAGCAGCATGCTTCCCACCATGTCCATCAAATACCCCGTAAAAGGCAGTTGGTCCGTCCTCGGAATCCTTGAGACCATAACTATCCATGAGATTATCGAGGCATAGATAAGCATCTTCCATGGTCGACCTGGAGCCAATATCCGACCAAGCTCCAGAACGCATAGAGGGAACAAACTCACTCTTGTCTAAAGCAAACTCGTTCTCAACTGATAAATCTGACACCTTTGTCTTCACCTACCAAAATTTAGCAGAGTCAGAAACCTCACCAAACAAAAAAGACAAAGCCTTTACTTAAATGGCTCAATTCCATTGAATAGAGTTAACAAGGTTCAAGCAGATAAGCAAAACCATTATGTCAGCATTTAAGAACATCTGTCATAAATATAAAAGAGATTATAAAAAGAAAAGCCTTTGATTGGAAGAAAGGAATCTTACGAGAGATGGGTGTCGAACAAGCGACTTGGGCGGCGCCATATAGCGGTCGCCGTCAAAGGTCTGCCTGTATAAGGCGGCGGCGGCGGAAGAGGAAGAGGAAGAGGAAGAAGAGAAGGAGAGAGGATTCGGCGGTTTACCGCCGTAACTCGAACTCCCATTCTCCGGATCAGAGATTCCTTTAGTTTCTTCCATTGTACACCATCATTGCAAATCAAATTAAGCTAACCTTGTGCTAGCGACTCTCCTAATCGAATCTGACTAAGCGGAGAATGCAGATAGATAACAGATTCGTCGTAATCAATGGTTTCACAAAATCACGGGAGATCTAGGGTTTTAGAAAATTAGGGTTTCGTGGCAGAAATTAGAACACGAATTTGAGAGAGAGAAAACTGTTCGCCGGCGGCGGAGGCGAGATATACGAGACCGACTGTTATTTAAGAATCAAACCAAAATACGACTGCGTTTTGTTTTTATTTCCCTTCTTCTTTTGACCGTTGATTAAGAAAATTAAAAAGAATCAGTCTAATGGTAGTAGTTATTTTGGAAATATATATATATTATATATATTCGAATATTTCGCTATTAGGAACTTTTTGTGTTTGATTTTTTTTTTCTTTCTTGAAAACGATGGTTCATCTTTTAATTAATTAAATGGACCGACAATAAACTTGTTGACGTGGGAGCATGTGATGACACATGCTAATTGGCTTTCATTATCAAATCTATATTTACTTTCACAACGCGTGATACGTGTACGTGTATATTTTATATCCTATTTTATTCAGAGGTAGCAAAGATATTCACGACTTTGCTTTATTTGTCTTTGTATGGACAAAACTTTTTCCAATACTTTTGGGTTCTGCCGTTCACACCATTCTTTACTACAGTTAATTATTAATTTTCTGGCAAGCTTTTATCAAACTGTATCATAATTACGATGTTAAAGAAATAGTCTTACAACTATTTACGACTAGGATAAGATCGGCGCAAGGCGTATAAATAAATTTATATAAAAAAATTATTTTAAAAAAATTATATAAAAATAATATATATTTTTGATTGAATTAATACTTTAGTATTTAAATGAAAATTATTATTTTTTGTTAAGTACATAATTTATTTACTGAAGAATTGATCTTATTTTCTAAAAATAATACTTATTACAAAGAACCTATCTTTAAGATCAAAAAAAAATTGGTTTATTTGATTACAATAAAATTATGTCAACTCGATTTTATATTATGATTTAGCAATTTAAAAATTAATTATGGCTATGAAAATTTTACGTTCACGTGTCAATCCTATTTATCTTTAAAATTTTTCTCTTTTTGTGTTTTTTTTTAGTTATTGCTCGATATAAATATTGAGTTTGAAGTTTATTTTCATTTTGTTTGTTTGTTTTGGACTAAGATTTAGATAATTCTTAAGATTTAAAATAATTAAAGAGATATATACTTAGGTTAAGATCTGCATTATTTGCAGAATAAATATTTTATATTTATTATACATTTTATGTTTTCCTGCATATTATGAATAATAAAATAATAAGTATATATTAAATAACTAAGAAATCAATTACTATTATGTAATAAATTGGCGTGTGCATATAAATCTAACAATCACTCTTGTTTATTCGCAATTAGGATAAATAAATCAAAAAAATCAATTTTATCTATCGTATATGATATACAATTAAAGTTAAATGATATTAACATAGATATATATAACACTTGTAATATGTATATTTATTAAATGAAGTTTATACTCATATGATTTTATGATTATTTGTATAACAAAATTTTACACCAACAATTTTTTTAAAAATGTGAAATGCGTAGTAGTTTCAATAATCTATAATCATTTAAAAAAACCAATGACATATTTTAAAATTAAATTATTTATCTTTTCAATATATGTTCAATGCAAATATCAAAATATTAGTATGTATTTCCATACGATGTATAGCTTAATTTAAACAATGTGAAATATATATATATATATGTATGTATATATTAACATAAAACCTATTAAAATAAAATTATTTCTTCATATGCTCTTATAATAATTGTATCTTAATATAGAAAAAAATTTAAATCTTGATCATAAAAGCTTATGTGAGAGTTTTAACAATTTTAGTAATTTATACTCGTTTTGAAAAATTTGAAATACAACATACACAAAAAAATATAAATTTTTATTAATGATTTATGTAATTGTGTAATTTATTTTACTAATAAAGAAATAAATAAAATGGTAAAAAAGATACAGATTGTTATCAAATCTTTATTGTTTAAAATCATTAATTTTCATATATATATTTTAATCACATTAGGTAATTCCGTAGGTTTTATTTAAGGAAAGCCTACGAAATAATAAATATTTGATATATGCACCAACTATAGTATGCGAAATATTATATTGCTAAATAGTATAATTTTTATAATATATTTTATACAAAGTGTTCTAGAATCCTTCTAAATTGAATTAGAAGACATAGAAAGCTACCACATAGGATAGAATTATTTTTTAATTAATACAAACTTAAAATTAAAATTTCATATTTCAAATGTTTTTTAATTAATATATAAGAGATATTAAAATGGAAATATCCTCTAGTTCTAAGCTATCCACATTATCTAATAAAATTAACCAATAATATATTGTTAAGTTGCCATGTCATTTTTATAATATGTCATATTTTATTACAAAAAGAAAAAAAAAAGTTGATCATTAATATAGCTAAAATATGACAGGCAATCATCACTCTGTTTCACCGACTTTTTCTTCTTCCTTCTCATGAGAAAGCAACTTTTTTATCGTCTCCGCCGATTAACATTCTCACCAGTACCATTCATAAAGAACTAGTAATTTTTGCAGTAAGTTAAAGCTAATCTACTCTTCCAACTCCTCCACCTTCAAACTTTATTTTATGATTTTGTACTAGTAAAAATCTATCGCATAGTCAGTTAAGTGGCTATAAAGCAAAAATTCATGGCTAGGAAGAAAAGAACCACGTTTTTGGAAAGGAAAATTATTGTGACTATAATTTCGTGGCTATAAAAAAGCATGGCTTATCGTGGCTTACCACGGTACCTTTTGTGGCTCATATAGCCACGATAATAAAATCTATAACGTGACTATCTTTAGTGGGTATTATAACCACGGTTCTCCCACTAACATTAAAGTGGCTGGTTAACCACGGTTTTGTCACTACGTTTTTGTGGCTATATGTAGCCACGGTTTTCCTTTTATTCATGTTGTGTTATTTTTCCATTTTAATTAGTGTGGCTATTTTATAAATAGTTTCTTCTTTGATTAGTTTTAATTTGCCAATTAAAACAATTTTTATTTGCCAATTAAAACAATTTTTATTTGCCAATTAAAACAATTTTTATTTCCATTCAAGTATTTAAACCTTGCACATTTAGTAAAAACAGAAGTTGCATATATATAAAAGAGTAAGTCAACATTATAAAAACATAGATAATTAAACAAGGTAAGAGTTTAAAGTGTTTAATAAGACTCTACAAAATACATAGTTAAAGAGTCTAAAAAGACTCTACCAAAAGATCAGAGCTAGAGTTTGATAAACCTTGTTACAAAAGAGAAGACAGGAACCTACTTAAGACTGAGTAGTTGGTGCTTGTTGGGGACAAAGCGATTGGATGAAGTCATCGATTAATTCTCTTGTTGATGCAAAGTCCTGCTTCATCTCGGCCACATCCTGCCTGACCTCATACACGTCCTGCCTCTGGAGGCTTGTTTCAATACTTCCCACACGCATCTCCAGCTCAAGATTGCGGGAAAGACCATTAGGGGCACGTGAAGAAGGTGCTTGCTCCCTGTATTGTGCACTGCCGAGTCCATAAAGATGCCCCCTCTTCCCCTTTGCATTCTGTTGAACATAGCATAAATTTTTTTAATAAACTCAAGTTTGCCTCAAGACTATAAATAAACAGAACATAGCATAAAACATTGTAAACCACATTCTTAAGCAGCTCTAAGTCATATCTAATTCCACATACAAATCAAACATAAAATTTATAAATCTCATTGTTTCTTTTCTAGGACCGTGTCAATGTCACAATAAATAAACTATAAGCTAAAGTTCTTTTAACACAAACATAACATGGTTCTCTAATATATTGTGTGTATGAAATATACCTTTAGATAAGCTTTGTTTAACTTGAGGCGAGAAGGATTAGGTGATGTACTTGGACTTCCAGGTGATCCTTCAGTGTTACAGAGCTGTGTGGCTTCCATCTCGGCTTGAGTAACGAGTTCTTCTGCACGATAGTCCATAAAGGTCCCATCTGGTCGGGTGTGTGTGTTGCCCTGACTAGGTCAGTGAATGATGGCCGTTCATTAGTACCAAAAGCCACCATCTGCAAAAGAGGAAAATAATTACAGCAGATTAGAGAAAAAGAACAATGTTTAAAAGTATAGACATTGAAAAATACCATGTTATACTCAATTCTTGAAAAAGACCTAGGTCTTGCATTATGCTTGTGGCAGCCTTTACCCACAGGATCAGATTTGCGAGATTTTGCAGCCTTCTTGCTCTTCTTTTTAGCTGCATCGGTTGCCCAGTGCTCCAACATTAGTGTCCAGTCAGCTTCATTGATATACTTTGGCTTCTTCTGTTGCCTCTTCTTCTTGCTTATCCTTTCACCAATGGTGGTCCATGTTTCTTTCTTCCAAAGACCGTAAACCAAGTCATTAGACTCAGACTCCCAATAGATTTTTTTCTACAAAAGAAAACAAAACAGTATGAGATTTAAAAACATGTAAAACGGATATAAAAGTATACTAGTCACTTACCACAAACGTGTGCCACCATGCGTCCCTCCTTTCATCAGGAACCATCCTCCAACTCTTTCAAGGCCCCATGTAGTATGCTTGCCAAGTTGCCCGAATGAAAGAGTTGACACATGGGTTAATACCAAACCTAAAATGATAACAAACATCAGTAATAGAAACAATACATTCACAAAAAATCCTAAAAAATAAACAATCATAAGTAACAATTCTAAATAGAAACTATCCTAAGAAATCACATCCATAATTCAAATAACAGAAACTATCCTACGCAAATAACAGCCATAATTCAAATAACAGAAACTATCCTAATCATACCAAAAAGCTCTATTGATTTTATCTGGATGGAGATGAGGCTGTGCTAGCCTAGCAGG